CAAATTTATTGTAACATTTTCTATTCATTATTAAATATTAGTCTTTTTTTGTGGGACACTTAAAACTAATCATAATAAATAAAGCTTTACATTTAAAAAGGTTCATATTGGATTTTATATAATTAAAAAAAAAAATTTAAGAAAAAAATTAAATTATAGAAAATATGGGAATATTTGTTGCATGGAACAATTAAATTTTTTTTTTTTCAATTTTTAATAATATAATACGAGTTATTCACACATTAAATTTTAAATTATTCACTAATTCAAATTAATAATACTATTTTATTTAAATAATAATAAAATTACCAACATTTAGAATAACATATTTGAAATATGAAAAACCATATAGTTTTAAATTTAATTATAATTATAATTATAATTGTAATTAAAAAAATGGTCATTATCAATCAAAACATGAATCTTAAACGACGCAAAATTCAAGATTTGGTGTCGTTTTCATTCTTTTTCACCGATTGGATGAGTCCATATTTTCTGCCATAATTTCCGTTTGGTTTTTTTAATTTCTTTATGACCCCTTATCCCATGGTTATAATATATACGTACATAATACATACATATATATATATATACATACATGTATATGTATATGTATATGTATATGTATATGTATATGCAGCTCTAGGTCAAAAAAAACACTGATCAACAAACCAAGGCATTGTTTAGAGCTTAACATCTTTGTTTAAAATTTTCAATTAACTTACTTTTTTTTTATATAAAAAAAATAGATAATTAGTTTAAAAAATATTGATTTTAAATTATATTGTTTAAAAATTATACTTTTTACATACTATTTTATTACTTCTATACATAAATTACACTCTTACTATATGGTAAATATATATATATATATTTATGTATATATATATATGTATATAATAATTTTTATGTGAAAAAATATATAAATGGATCCTACCAAAAGTGGTATAATTATTGACACCGAAAGTACACAAGACACATTTTATTGAGACATCAAGTTTTGTAGTGATGGGAAGGTAGTTGGACAGACATCTTAATTTTGTTTTATTAAATTTAATTTGACATTATACCAACAAAATTGATTAATTATAAATTAAGCAAAAAATAATTAGTTAGATATTTGATGAAGGATCCCATCAAGCATATGTTTTGATAAATAGGGATTTCGTATATTTAGTGTAGCGACCCAAAATTTTAAGGCAATGAATATATATTGGGATGATGAAAACAATTAAGCGTTTAGAGTTTATATTTCTTACACAATAGATATGAATGCCTAATAGGGTTACGAAAATACTCATTTAAGGAAGTTTTAACAACGGAATGAATAGATAAAAAAAAAAAATATAACTAGAAATCCTATAGGATTAACCTCCGTTGGGCAGCTCTGATGAGATACGGGAGAGAGTTTTTATTCACAATCTTCTTGCTGTTCAGGATCTGGATCTTGGTCTTCCTGATCTGAAATGCTTAAATAAGGGGGATGAAATACACTATTCCAGTAAGAATATCACACTTCACACTGATATGAAAAACCAAAAGTTGGTAAAAATCGAAAAACAACAAATTGAACCATTATCTC